AGCTGCRGATCAGCATTAGGGCACTGAGCACCATCGTGGGRAGGGCTCAGAGTATTCCCATTATTGGAACCACCGGGGAAAAGGGGAAAACCACTGACTTTATCCATGTTCATCCCCCAGCCTGGCAGGATTTTATTAGACAAGAGCAAAGCACACCCCATCATCCTAACAGGATGTTAATAAGGAGAACCAAGCGCCAGCCGTGCAGCTGAACAGAGATTTTCGCAGGAAAACACCTCTAAATGAGCATGCCAAGGAAGTGATGCTGGACGTGTAATATTTCAAACACAACAGGCTGTATGTTCATGTAAATGTTATGCAAATGAGACACAGCCCCAGGCACCTGGTGAGGTTCCAATGAGGCCCTGGAGGCTCCAAACTGTTGATTTAGCATATGAGCCTTAGCACTTGCACGAAAATGCATGTGTTAAAATCATACTGAATGAATATATATATATATATATATATCAGGGACTTTTGAACAAATTAAATATTGATACAAGCTATGGGTTCTTCCTATGGACATTTTGATTTCCAGTCAGAAAATGTTGCCACAGGATGATGTTACCTCTTTTAATGCAGAATAAACAGTGCATTGTCTGTGTGATTAATGTGAAGCCTCCATCAGCAGCAGCCTCAATGTTACTTTTAAGGATAATTATGTCACAGCTAACAAACTTGATTACRGACAAATTTGATTAACAAACTTGAATCATCAAATTCATCTCTCCCATTCTTTGTTCATGCTACACATTAGCAGATTTTGCTCTGAATGCTGTTGTTTTTCACTAGATGAATAAAAACTAAGAAACCAAACGCTTAAATRTTAAATCTCACTTTCCCCTTCTTTATGCTATCCTTTCTCTATGACGTAACTTGGATTTTTGATAGAAAAACTTAGCAAAATTCTGTTTTTCAGCATCTGTTCCACAAGAATATCTTGAGACCTATAAGAAAAAATTCAGCTACCACATATCTCAATGAATTTGAATGAAGACAAGAATTTCTCAAATATTATATTTCTCAATTACATAAGRGAGAAAGAATGATTCATTATACGTTGCTTTCTAAAGAGATATCTCTAGAATTTAAGAGGACACATTTTAGGGTTTTTTACCAAAAAACTAATAGAGTTTTATAATTCTCACCTTATATTTGCTGTCTTGTTGGTCTGGCTCTGTGACAAAAATAAACTCAAAATATCTCGTTCTATGTCCTATTTGTAAAGGCCTTAATCTATTAAGGAAGGATTCATTAGTCAGAGAGGCTGGAATCATYGGGAACTGAGTGGCCAAACCCAGACAGGGCCCTGATTTGTGAGTGCTGTGTTGCTCATCCTCTTTCCTGGCCTAAATAAATCCATCCTTGGAGGTGCTTTAAGGSAGCTGCAAGACTCTGTCCTACTGCTGCACACTCAGATATTTTTCTTACTCTTTTATTCATATAGGTGAGATAATGTTTCTTCTCCCAACATTTTTTTTACATTTTTTGTTGTGATTTTTTTTTTAGATTTTTTGATAATGATAAATAAATGATCATTAAATCTTACTAATGTGTTCCCAAGCTGCAATGACCAAACCAGAAAACCTAAAACACAGATAAATAGGGGAAACAAAAAATCACAAGAAAGAACACAGAATTAATGTGGCAATTTGTTTAGATGATACATCATGTGTTTATAAAAATMCCCTTTTTTAGGAGAAAACCTGCAACTGTTTTCACAGAAATAGAGAAAAAAAAAGAGGTGCAAGAGTGATATAGTCTAACATCTAAATCTATACCGATTTGGAGAAGAAAGACATTCATATTGGCTTTGTTTGCAGGGGGTTATGTGTTTTTGAAGGAAAGAAATTGTATTTGTAATCTCCTCTCTCAAATAATGTTTTAGAGGCATCCCAGACGTCAAGATAGCTGTCTCTGAATACTGCAATCAGAAAAWACGTTGGTGTGCAAGCAGTTGTGCTATTTTTTTCTAACTCCTGCTCCAGTTTCAGATTGCCCATCATCACAGGAAATGTGACAAACAATAAGTCACATAGAAAGCAAATTATTCCTGTTGATTTCAAAGTTCCAAACTCSAGGAACTGGAGTGGCAGATCTCATTTGTGCACTGGAGCTCTCTGATTTAACTGCAAATGTCGTCGGGGCTTTTGATTTGTGTTTTCAGTCTTTTCTGTTCCATATAGTATTTTTTTTTTCGGTTGGTTTATTCAGATATGCAATCCCAAAAGGGTAGTTCCTATAAGAGCATGAGTTATATTAAACATTTTTGATACTCTCAGCTCTCTCTTCCTAAAATATAAACAACTCTGTTAGTATGGTAGAGTCTAGAATACTGCAWATGAAAAAGACATCCAAAATTAACAAAAAATGATAGTATCAAATGCTAACTAGGTCCTGAACACACGATTTTTTTGTTGTTACTAACTAGCCCACAATCAAAAAATTATTCTCTATCACTGAGAAAACTTCTAATATTAATTTGGAATTTAGGGATTCCTCAAGCTGTTGCAATACCTTCATCTTGGATTTCTTTGATGGTTGTCATAAGGGAGTTATGCCAAGCTGARAGACCTTTTCCTGGGCTCCTTTGGCAAATCCCTCGTGCAGAGRAAGGCTTTGAGCAGAGCTGTGCTGAGCAAGCCAAACACAGGAGGTGCTGGTGTTGGAAATGATACAATTTTTAAAATTTTTAACCAACTGTGGTCAGGGGTTTGTTCATCTTTGTCCAGGGAAAAGGAATTAAAGTTTTTTTTCAAAAGACTGCTCCCTAGGCTGGCCTGATGAGTTTAGCATCCACAGCCTGGGAGTAGCACAGAAGACACAGGAGAGATAAGCAACCATTAACAACCATTAACCAATATCAGCACCCCTGGTGTGCCTGAGACACCTGGCCTGAAAAAAAGATCGAAAACAGAACCAAGAGTGAGGATTTAATTAGCATTGAAGGTGAARGGATCAATACCCACAGGAAACCAAATACTAAAATTRTAACATTTGGGACCAATGAACACTGAACCAATGAATTTCTCYGGGTTTTGTCTGTATAATTATATGAAAAATCTAGTWAAGAACCACGTATGATGGAATTGTTTTGCCTGCACAACTGCAGCAATGTGGATGAAATTACTTCTGTTGCCCATCCTGTCTAGAATAAAGCAATGCCCTGATTCTCTAACACTAAAAATGCTGTTGGAGAGTCTTTGATTTTTCCCACAGTTTCGGTGACACTGGGAGTTAAAAAGGCTCTCTGGAGTCTATGGTGTAACAAGCACTGGGGTCACTCATCCCTGCAGCAGCACAGGAAGGGAGGCTCTGATGGTCACCCTGGTCCCCAGGTCCTTCAGGGCATCACTTCTCCCAGATCAGCCCTCAAGCTGGGACACAGAGATCTGCTTCAGCAGCTCTKTTGAAAGCAGTCTAACTCAGATGTTAATATATGTGTTTTAATGAATAATCTCCAAATGTGCTACTTACACCCTGGATCTAAAACTTTACTTGATGGTTTTCTAATTTAAAAACAGCAGTCTTTCAAAAACCTGTGCATATAGAACAAAATAAAGTCTTTCTTGGCTGCTTTGTGCCCCTGCTTTTCAACAGAAACAGGGTTTCTGTTCAATTAAATGTTCTGACAGTTGAATTTGTCATGCAAATATTCCCAGCATCTCAATGAAAGCAGTGGAAGAAGCCAAGGTTTCATTTATCAGCATTGGTGCATCTGAWGTGAGAGCCATTTCCTGGAGGCTCCTGCCACCAATTAACCAAATCAGATTTTCTGGTGGACTAAGGCTTGGTTTGCATCCACCTCACTGGGGGAGTGGACAGAAATCATTCATTTATAGTGTTTAGAAAATTTTTTTAGACATGCAGAAGGTTTATTCTGTAAATTGTKGGTGAGGAGTGTTGAGTTTTGCATTGTAACACAAATTTTCTAAAAAAATATTTCAGTGACTAGAAAGGGCAAATTTCTTTCAGGCAGTGTTTTGTCTCCACACTTCTGTGTTCTGTCACWTGAGTTACCACTGGTTGCAGTCATCAATTATCTTCACATGGAAGAAATTTTTACATGTGGAAGGAGCCTGGTTTTAAAGGCTGCTATATATCTACATAACAAACAATCAGGTTATGAAGGTGAGATCAGARGGATGGCTGATGCCATGGTCTGCAGCCAGGATCACAGAATCATTGAACCATTAAGGTCAAAGAGAACTTTGATCATAAAATTATTGAACCATTAAGGCCAAATGGACCTCCAAGAACATCAACCTTCAAACCACTATGTCAAGTAACCCA